CCCCCCGCCATTATTCATCAAAACTAAACACTAGCAAATTCCGTCGGCAGTGATGATAAACACCACCAGCTCGATGAGGATTGCTATGGTCATGATCATCATGGTGCCTATTAAAACTATCAAAACTGATGACGACGATGATAGTGACAGCGGTGGCTTCCCTCCATAAGCTTGAAATACTCCTCGGCATCATTCACCTCCGCCTTGAAGAACACTGATAGGGTGTATCAATTGCCAAAATCAGTAGAGGGTGACACAGGCAGGGGTAGCCGAGGAGTTTGCTTCGAAAGAGCGTGGCGGGGGGTAGGAGGGGGGGGGGGGGGGGGGGGGGGGGGGGGGGGGGGGGGGGGGGGGGGGGGGCGGGGGGGGTGAAAAGGCGGACTGGAAGACACACGAGGACCAATCAAAATAGGTCGAAGCTGCTGACCTGCTGACCTATCAATCCATAGGTCATCAACGAACACACAACAGAGATGATGGAAAAAAAAACAAAGCTATTCTCTCGCTGAGCTGCTGCACAGTTAACAGTGTTTTACATGAACGAGGGAGACCCTCCCTTTTCACAAAAGGGATGGGATGCTTACCGAAATGCTTAATGAATCGATATATTCGAATGAATAAGAGGAAAGCACCCAACCTGCTTACCTGTCATTCATTCAATAGGGTCATTTTCTTTACTGATTGGGGATAATACAAGCGATAGGTCAAAAAACGCATTAATGGGCGGTGGTAATACAGTACTTGACATGAGAGCGCTCTCGAGTTTCCAACGAGCAGAAGAACATCCTTTTCATAACAAAGAAGACGAGATCCGCGGGAGAGGAGAGGAGAGAACAGGAGGGGACAGGAGAAAAACGTTTCCAGCTAAACGGGAAAAGGAAAGACCAGATGACATAGCGAAGGGAAGGGGGGTAGGAACGAATCTCCTTGCAGGCGCTACACACAGCGACTGGCCAGCACAGCTTCGTGATAGCCAAAGCAGGCTACAGTGTACGTACGCGCGAATTGAGAGAGAGAGAAAGACAACTAGAGAGAGGAGAGAAGGGCGGTAGAAGCAGGCTATGCTATAGGAACACGTGAATTGCGAGAGAGAGAGAGAGAGAGAAATAGAGAGAGTAAAGGGAGGCCGTACAAGCGAAGGAGAGAAAGCAGAGCCCACAACGAACATCGAAGCCGGGAAGAGAGAACATCCCTTCTTCCCCAGGATCGCCTCAGCGGACAGACAAGGAGAAAAAAAGGGGAGAGGTGGAAGGGGAGAGGTGGAAGGGGAGAGGTGGAAGGGGAGAGGTGGAAGAGGTGGAAGGGGAGAGGTGGAAGGGGAGAGGTGGAAGAGCAGAGGTGTGTTTGAACAAGCAGAAGAGAGGCAAGACAAGGAGCCTGGCTGGAGAAGAGGGGACGACATTGACAAGGAAGATGGGTGGTGAGTCTATACATCAGACGCGAGAACGAGGAAAGAAGAAGGGGAAAGAAAAGGTGGGGGGGGGGGAAGAGGAAGATAGAGCCGCAATTGGGAGCAGCGCGAAGGGTAGTTGAAGAACAGGCTACCCCCGAACATAACGCAGCCTGCAAATGAACGTATACAAGGTATGTTTCCGGCCTGATACAGTCAAATAGGGTGCGCGTTGTGTTCGGTGGAAGACGGTAGGCCAGAAGGCGCTGAAGAGAGGGGGCGGCAGGGGGTAGCAGGCGAAAGGAGGACGAAGACAAGGCAGAGGAGGAACTACTTACAGCGCGGAAGCAGGAGACAAGGAGAAGGATATGGAGATGGCAGAGGAAACGATGGCGCGGCCATGAAAAGCGGGAGGACACTGACGTACCCGGGGGGGGGGGG